ACCCCGCCGTTGCTGCTCAACCCCTGATGCTCGCGCCTGCCATGCCCGCCGCGAGCTTACTTGTACTTGTCGAATGATCCGAGGCAGTGCAACCAGCTCAAGGGTTTGGGCTATGGGGCGACCAGCGCGCTGCAAAGTGCACCCGCCCTCGTTCTACACGTTCCCCTCCTTGATGCACCTGCCACGAACACTGCTGCGTCCCTCGCCGATTCACCCCAGATTGCCAAGCTGCTGATCATCCCATTTGTGGCGGTGATGGAGGTGATCTGGTTCCAGCGGCGCTTCACCCCAGCGGTGACTGCGTCGATGGTCACGGTGGTGATCGGCGTCGCCATTGTGTGAGTGCCACATGTTTGACACCTGCACCTGCACGCGCGCCCATGCGTGTGCTAGCCGTGTTTTCTAGCAGACAGGGCCCCTGAAGCCGTGCCATCTGCAGCGCACAGGCTGCCCGCACACACAGCCGGCTGCCCAGGGGGTTTGCAGTGCTGCGTTGCCCAGCCGCAACCCCTCTATATGGGCCTATCCACACGCGTCAGCCTCCTGTCGCACCGCCCCACCGCGCCCCACCACAACCCCGCAGCACCGTGACCGACGTGTCGGTCAACACCCTCGGCCTCGTCATCGCGGGCATCAGCGTCGTCTCGAGCGGCATGCAGCAGCTGCTCTGCGGCACCATCCAGCGCAAGCACAAGCTGCAGTCCTACCAGCTGCTCGCCAACACGGCGCCGGTGCAGGGCGCGATCCTCATCGTGCTGGGGCCCCCCATCGACTACCTCATCACGGGCTCCAACGTGGCAAAGTACGAGTGGACGGTCCCCGCTACTGTGATCCTGGCGGCCTCGTGCTCCGTGGCCATCCTCGTGAACATCAGCCAGTTCATGTGCCTCGGGCGCTTCTCGGCGGTGACCTTCCAGGTGCTGGGCCACACCAAGACGATCCTGGTGCTGCTGATATCGTGGCTGGTGCTCAAGGAGCCGATGTCGGGCCGCAAGATGTTTGGCATGGCGCTGGCGGTGGTGGGCATGATCATGTACGGCCACTTCAACGGGAAGGCCGCGGCCGCGACCGCGGTCAAGTCGGCCGAGTCGCTGCCGCTGCTGAACAAGCAGCGCGTCACCAGCGACGGCGAGGCCAAGGTGGGTGGGAAGGAGGATGGGATTGGGGGCGGGGGGGCCGCGGCCGACGGGCACGCTGAACGAGCGTAGTGCACAGCGGTCGGGGCTGTTGGCGCAGGTTTGCTGGGCAGGCTGCGTTGGTGGTCGTGTGGCGCCGGAACATCGGCGTGCTCAACAACTCGTGCCCCAGTCCTGGCCACTCCAAGCGGCTGCCTGCCCGCCCGCCCCTGCACCATTGTGGGCTGACTGCGCTTGCCTCCATCAACGCCGCCAACCCCAACAACAGGCGGGCAAAGCGGGCGACGAGCAGGCGCAGGGGGTCGATGCCTTGCGCGTGCGCGTGGGCGGCAACGTGCCGCGCTGAGGGAGCATGGGCGCCCTGGAGGCACCGCCCTGAGGTGTGCAGACAGGCCTCTTGGTGCTGACTCAACAGCCCTGCCCCGCCCAGTGGCGCACAGCCGTCGATATTAGCTCTCGCCCTGCAACCGTGCTGCGACGCAGTGTCCTTATTGTCTGCATCTTATCATATGCTGCCATCAGGCACGGCGCCATAACATTTTTTGTCGGGATATGCATTTTTATTGGTCTGCTGATCACGCATGATTACTACCAACGCTCGCGACCACATGCTGTCAGAATGATGTAACCCGGCAACCTGCATTCCCTTGTGAGCAACCAGCTGACGGGCTGCTGGCAGGCAGATAGGAGGTTTGCGCTGATCAAAGCGTTACAAATCGACAGATGGCCCAAAGGCAGCTTGGCTGCAAACATGCCGCAGCAAATTGATTTGAAGTCCGTCCAACACCAACGCGCCGGCAGCTGCCTGCGACGGTGCCGCCCGCCTTGAGAGGTCCTCGCCCTCAACCTCGGGTGAGACTCTGAGACTGAGACGAGAGCCCGGTATCAGCCTGACCCGTCAGCCAGCAATCTGAAGAGGCCGCGTTGATCAGAGGCAGATCGTGCTGTGATATGCTTGAACACATCACTCGCCGCCCGCAGCAGCCACAGCCGCAGCCTCCTCCGCCACACCCGCCTCTGCCGCGACAACCGCCTGCACTGCCGCCGCCGCCACCCTGGACGCGGCCTGCTGCGCAGCGGCGGCCTCGTCCGCGGCCGCCGTCGGCGTGGGCGCGGCCGCCGGCGTAGCCGCGGCCGCGGGCGCATAGCTGACCGTTGGGGCGGGGGGCGGGGGCGGCCGCCAGGGCGCGTCGCGGCCGTCCTGTACCCCGTAGTCGTACGAGCGCGCCGCTGGCGCGGCCTGCTGCGCGACCCCGCCAAACGCGGGCACGGCGGGGCCGGGC